TGGCTGTATAAGAAATATATTCAATGGCTAATTCCTGTGCTTCCTGCTAAGGTCACATTCATACCTAGAGGACCTTAAGCATTTGCAAACATAAACTTGACTTTAGACCTTATTAGAACAGTACTGAATTATTTTGCCTAGAGAGCTGAAGAGTTCATTTATAAATGTATAATACTAATATATTATTTCTAATTTTCAATAGCTAATTTTTAAGCTTAAATATAGATTACCTTAGCTATATTACCAGTATATCCTGGAACCAAAGTAAGATGGCTTTCCTGTTCCCACAATCCACTTAATTGTTGTTTTAAAATCTGAATATTTCTAGGAGGAAAAAAAGAAAAATGAGAAACCAAATACAGTAGGATATGGACTTTGGTAGTACAAACACTTAATGAAAACAGTTTAAAAATTTTCAATTATTTATCAGGAGAAAACTATACTATTTAAAGTTAAGCAACTGTTTAAAATAGTGCACGTCAAATGATGAAAATTAAAGGTTACTGAGTTGTCAAAGGTAAAGAAAACAACTAGGCATTTGGAGCATTTGGACAACTTGTTCTTGGATATTAAGTGGGAAATTCTGAAAGCCTAGAAAGAAAATTATGAACTTTAAAAAGACTGTTGGGAGATTTTTTTTTTGTGGCTTCATGATAATCTGGCTCATCTGGTAAAATACCCATACATTTTTATACCAAGGCAATACTCAAATTACAATGATTATAATATAGTATTTAGAAGTATAACCATCAACACTGGACTCTCAGGTTAATGTCTAGGTAGCCAAAGGACTCTGATGCCTCCATTCCTTTTTCCACTAGGGGCATCTCTTTTCCCCTCCCATACTCATATAATGGATATGAGGATTAAACCACTGTTGTGCTCTTCCTTCTAAAATGAACGGTAGGGTTCTGCCAGAAAAAGAGATACAGGGGTTACTGGGCCCTAGAATTCAACTTCTCTGTGTGATTTTCACAAATGAACAGTATCACAAGTTAATATTTCTCTAAAAATGAAGAGAGTAAATATTCTACACTGAAGATTAAGGGATAAAATTACTATCTAGTTTAATCAAGATGTTTTTCTGAAGAAAATTTCAGCATGAGTTTATCTTTAAAGGTATACTCACCCATCATTTATAATTTCTGTTTTGGATGATAGTTCTGACCACCACCTTTTTATGACTGCTTGAAGCCAGTTTAAACCAACTATTACATATCTGAAATGACATTTGGTTACAAAATTCAAGCGTTTTCATCTGAGTCTTTATAAAAGATACTCTCATACTCTCCCCCACCTAAAAACACATACACATTGACCTTTTCCCCTTTTAAAACTTATTTCACTACTTTCATAATCTATTTCACAAAATTGTACTTTATGTAACTTGTTTATAGATACTTTTGTAATTGTTCATAGTCATTTCACATATTCTTTTCCTAATCATACTATAAGTTCCTTAAAAGCAGAAAATATGTCTCATGAAGCTCAATCTACTTCTCTATAATCACAAAGTACTAAAGGATGTTGAAAGAGAAAAATGAATCAAAACTCAGATTAGCACTTACTCTTCAAATTTGCTTTTAAGTAGTGACTTTACTAGAGGCAACAAGTCTACACAGCAGCCAAGTGAAATATAGTGTTTTTCTTCCTGTAAACTAAAATAAAGAAATACTAAGTTATAAAAATATGAACAGGCTATAATCCATCCTTCTTTAAACTTACTTTTTTTCTGAAAAATACTGTTTTTACCTATTGGTGAGCACAGGAAGGCAATCTACCACAACTCCAAGATCTTCTATCCTGTGAATACAAAAAGGATAGCATTGCTTAGAGAGCTAATTTCCTTATTTACTTTCAAATTATAATCTTCACTCTGCTTTTGAGAAGTTCATTCATAATTTAAGTGTCTACGATGAACCAGGTGCGGGGGACATAGCAGTGAACAAAGAGATAGGGCTTGCATTCCAGTGTGTATGTGTGTGGAGGGATAAGGGGTGGCACAGACAACAGACAATAAACAAATAAGCAAGTAAAATATATACAGTAGGTTGTAGGTTGATGATGACAAGTGCTATGGAAAAAAATAAAATAGGAAAGATAGAAAGTGAAAAAATAAGTATTTTGAAATAAGGTGATCAAGGAAGGTAAGACTTAAAATTCCCACTCAGAGGGGATTTTTAAAAGGTTAGTTTTCCCACAGCAGTATCTCTTAGTTTTATAGATAAGAAGCATAGTCAGAAAATGTAACAGCTTTGCTCAGTCTGATAAAACAGATGGTCTTCTGTGTTTTGATTACTCTTAGACTAGTGATGAATGTAAACTATATTCTCTATTGAAGCATAGGTAGTTAAAAATTTTAGCCAGTAATAACATAAAAAAAAAAAGGAGGCACTTCTAACAGCACAATGAAAATTACTTTTACTGAATAAAGAGCACATTCTCTATTGAAGCATAGGTAGTTAAAAATTTTAGCCAGTAATAACATAAAAAAAAAAAAGGAGGCACTTCTAACAGCACAATGAAAATTACTTTTACTGAATAAAGAGC